GTGTGTGTGTGTGTGTGTGCTGGGTGGGGTGGAGTGGGAGCTCTGTTTTCTGCATGAATATTACACAGAGTTTGATCATACATTATCTTAAGTTCTGCCTGATGTGCAGTCAGTATATATTTTTTTGTGAACACACTTATTTTGTGCATTTTTTAGATTTATGACTGCTCCACATATTCATGCACATATATTAAACAACTGATTTCCATAAGATTATTTCACATACAGTGTTTGTTATTTTAGCTTGCATTAATAATGAACATAAGGACAAAAAGAAATACCAATAGATTAAAAGAAGAAATGTACATTTCAGTGCAAATCTTTCTACAAATATGGTCACAAACATAGAAAACATGTTGCTTTTGTTCTTTTGGCTGCACCCTATTTCAGGGGTTTCCGTAGCAAGCAAACTTAGCAATTGCTGGATGCACTTCCTGATTCAGCCTGAACCCAAACCTGCAACCTCATGAATACAAGACTGCATGCATTATATTTACATTTGCATGCAAAAAAATATACATTTAAAACTTACAATACAGTTATGTTTTTTTACTGCATTTTTATTACATATTTTTGAACCCATTAAAACAAATATCTGCACATTGTGATATGCTTTATTTATTGTAACTTTAAAAAAAAACCATTTGATTTCTAACTTTTTGACCCATTTTCCATGCAGGGGAGAGCTTAAATCATACTGTTATCAGTGAATCTTTTACTACTCAAATAACTCCCAGGTTTGACATTTAACACTTCATTTCAGAGTTAAAAATCAAAACTGTCATGGCTCACTTGACAGTCTTTTAAACAAATCAATAAGTCATCTGTAAAAATGTCTGTTATAGAACTTTTTTTATTATCTGCAATCAGATATTTATTTATCCCAACTCTCTGTGCTTCAGGAAATGTGTATTATTGTGAAGGCGGCCTTGTGGTCCAGTGAAGAAAACAGCCTGTGAGAGATCCAGCACGATATGTAAACCATTTGACATCAGTGTTTGGGCTTTCTTTATGAGAACATCTGCAGCAGCTGCTCTATAAATTCCCCATGTTGAGAAAGCAGGAAGAAACAGTACCATTTTTGTATGTCAGTGTACCATGGAGAGAAGCAGACCCAGTTGTGCKTCATCTGTAAGGTTTGTGGAAAGTGAAATCAAGGATGGCGAACTGAGACAGGGTTGTTGTGCGCTTACAAATGGACTCCATGTAGAGACAAGATCAAAGTGAACTGAATGAACTTCATTACAATGATCACATTTTTAATTGTTGACCCCCTAACATAGTTCATATTTGAGTGAGGTAATCTTTGTGACTCTTAATCCAAACTGTCTGACTTGAAAACTGCATGATTCTCTGTAAATAAAAGTATCTCTGCTTTGTATTGTGACTTTTATTCAGGCAGTTTGCATAGAGTTGCCTTATGATCTCTGGTTTGCATCTCTTTCTTCTGAACACAGGGTAGTTGAGATTGTGAGCAGCACTTTCATTACAGAAACCCAACAGCGTCATTTGAAAATCAAAATAATAATGCGGATTTATACAGCTGTGTGAGGAAAAGTATTATCCGCTTTGTTTTTAGTTAGGATATTTTATATTTTTTGTTTTTAAAGGGTTTAAATTTGTCGAAAGTGCGGTACTGTTTAGTAAAATTCATAAACACCAGAAGCTGTGTTGGGGAGTTTGTCCTGCTCTCTCTGCTTGCGCTTTTTATAAGTAAAAAAGGTAGAATATTATCAGGACAAACTATGAACGACTGGCTCGGGATAATTTGACGTGTATAAATAGGTTTTCTGTAGTTTACCTGTGTCGCTTTCGTTTGTGTAAATGTTAGCTAAGCTAACCCAAGCTAGCAACCGAGGAGGACCGGTGAGCAGCTGATGAATCCTGATGGCTTCAGCTTCTGCTGCTAATGAAGGTTTGAAAAGCATATTTATTCAGTTTTTATATTATTTAATTTTATCATACCGTAACAGTAAAGCCTCTGTAATCTCGTTKGCTTATTTGATATGCAAAGAAGAAAGATAAACCGAACCTACCTAGTTTGTATTTTTTTTTGTTAAACAAAAAATATAAATACACTCCTGATCAAAATCTTAAGACCAGTCAAAAAAGTGCAAGAATTTGCCTTTTGCACTATTGGATCTTAAGAAGGTTCTAAGTAGACCTTCACAATGTTAAAAGAAGAAACCAGTGCAAGAGACAAGAACTTTTGAGCAGGGAATTTTCTGAAAACTGCATTTACACTCAAACACGATTTTTTTCAGCTGATCAAAAGTTTAAGACCATAACTCAAAAACCCCCGAAACCCCCCCAAAACAGAAATCAAAGTGTCAAAAAAAGGACTCAGTAATGAGTAGCTCCACTATTCATGTTGATGACTACAAACAATCATTTAGGCATGCTTGATGCCAGTGTTTCCAGGAGGCTAGTGGGAACGTTGCTCCAAGTGTTGAAGATGGCTTCACGAAGGCCATCC